AGGCAGTGTTTCATTCTGCTATGCAAAGGGTCACTATGAATCGGTATCAACTCAATGGCACCTAACAACAACAACAACAACAGAGGAGTGATATCTCAGGGGCTGTGTGGCAGTTGTAATGACTAGGCTTAGAAATACAAATGCCTTCCTCAAGACAGGTAATCAGGAAAAACCATGCCCTTGTGTTCCCATAAGTTTGACTAATGAGGGGACGGTCCATCTGAAGAAGAGGACTATCAGATGGATTTTGCTTCAAGTTTTTCTGTTCTATTTACCAGCTTCTGTTCTCAAATAAGTATATTAGCTTCTCAGAAACCAAATTCCTTGATCCATCATATAGGGATATTAGCAAACCCACTAGACAGCTAAGGAATCTATGTATAGGCCAACATGTACCAAATTCGTAACACAGTGCCTGGCATATAGAAAGAAACCAATTACTGTGGAGCTGATTCTGGTTCATGTGATTTAGGTAGCGCAACTGATTAAAAATGATTAATCGCTAACTAAAAAGTTGGAGGTTTGAGTCCATCCAGAGTTGCCTCAAAAGAAAAGCCTGGTAATCTTCTGAAAAAATCAGTCACTGAAAATACTATAGGGAAAAGTTCTACTCAGATACAAATGGTGTTGATCCAAAGTTGGTACTCAGCAAATACCATAGCATCCTAAGCCCTGTTTCTTACCTATCTTTCTATACTCTCACTAGAGCTGGTAGTTACGTGGCAGGCACAGAGCCAGGTGGAACCAGAAGATGGAGCTGGATACTGCAATGACTGTTCTCAACCAGATTGCGCTGTCTGTCCTCGTCTTGCTGGGAGTGACAGGACTGGAGATATTGCAAGCCTGTTTTTCTGTTGTCTGTGGTCCTGCTATACATGACAGGTTTGATAGGCAATGTCTTTCTACTCGGGCTGCTGGCAGCTGATAAGGCACTTTAATCACCCATGTGCCAGCTGTTGGGGCTTCTGGCAGCTGCTAACTTGATTCTGGCTATATCCACAGTGCCAAAAGCACTGGCTGTGCTCTGGGATCTGCTGGTGAGATCTCTTTTGGGGTCTGCCTAGCCCAGCTTTTTGTTGCCCATGTGTACTCTTTCCTTGTGGTTGGAAGATGGTCAGGGTTGAGTATGGGCATGTCTAGAGGCAGACAATGGAGAGGCCTTGGTCAGAGCTCTGCCTAGATGGGCCTTGAAGCACAGCTTGGACATCTGAGGCCACAGGCTAGAGAACTGAGAACACTTAGTCATTCTTGTGGGAAAGCTGATTCAGGACCTATAGTCCTCACTACTCCTGACCAACAGAATCTGAGATGTCTGAGACACTGTATGATTTGCTGGGTTCACAATCCATAGAGTACAGGATTGAGCATGGGAGGAACCACCACATATACGTTAGCCATTAGAATGTGGCTATGATTAGGAACCGTGTGGCGGCCAAAGCGATGAGACAGAAGGAGAAGGTGGCTGGTGTGTAGAAGAGAATGATGACACTGGCATGGGCCACACAGGTGGGATGGCAGTCAGCACAAATTATGGAGAATGAGAGCATGGGAAGCACCTATGAGTCCAAGATCTAGAACTGGAGAGAGCAATGTTGCGGCTAAGCCATCCCAGATGTTGGGGCGGGTGTCACTATATGCCAGCCCAGCCACACCCATGTGCTCACAGTAAGTGTAGGGCAATGCCCGCCGACCACACTACGGCAATCTTTGGAGCAGAATTACAGGGGGTACTATGACACAGGCACCACGGGTCACAGCAGCTACAGCCACTATGCCTATCACATGCTGGGTCAGCAAAGCAGCATCATGTAGACGTTGGCAAATGGCCACATAGCAGTCCACTGCCATGGTCAGCAGCACAAGGAAAGAGTCCACATGGAACTGACCTTTCCCTGCCTGTGCCCAGATGATTTCTTGCTTTATAACTTGGCATTGACCTCTACAGGTTTATCACACATGTGTCAAAGAAGAGGTTTGACTTGGACAGTAACAGACAAGGAGACCCAGGTCACAACCTATCCCAAGAAACCTGAGCAACAAAAATTTGTTTCGTCTATCACTCTGCATAGTCAGAATCAGATTAGTGAACAGAAGGTTTTTCTGAAGGGTCTGTTTGTACAATGTCTGACATGAAGCAGGAACTCCATGTTTGCTGAAGAGATGACGACAGCAGGGGATATGCGGAAATGGCACAATGTGAATAGAACGCCACTCTGTTCTGACGTGCTCTGGAAATTGACATGGTTTCTGACCTGGATGATTAATACCTAGAGCCTGGGAGGCCCATTGGCTGTGGCAGGAAATGGAGTAGACGGTCTACTTCTTTAGTCTGCTTCCTCATTTTGCTCAGATGCTGATGCTCATCTTGCATTTCCAATAGTGCCATGGGCTACTTACAGTTGGCAAACTATGGAAACACACTCATCACCATGCTCTGTGCTGTCTCTTTTGTTATATACTCTTCCTTCCTTCTATTCTTCCCTCCACAAGGTGTCCATATAGTGACCTCCATATGGACATTGACCTTGGATAGATTTCCAACTCCATGCTGGTGAAGTTTTCCCAATCTATTCCTCTTTGACTTCCCTGATCCCTACGGCCCCTCAGGCCCCAAACAAAGCCAGGTCAGAAGAGCTGATGGAAACTGGATCGCTGACCCTGAGCAGCGTCAGAGGATGAGGATCTGTAAAAGGAGATAAAGATGTAATCTCTTATATAAACCCGAAGCCAGTTGCCCTTGAGACTGTGGTGACTCTTGGAGACTCATGTGTGCCTGGGTCAAGCTGTGCTCCGTATAGGCTTTTTAATGGCTGATTGTTTTTGGAAGCACCTCTGGGAGGACTTGAACCACCAACTTTTTGGTTAGCAGACAGTTGTGCTAACCAGTTATAACACTCAGGGACTTCATTGTTGTTGTTGTTGTTTTTAAGTGCTGTCAAGTCGATTCTGACCCATAACGACCTTGTATAGGTTTTCTGAGGAGCAGCTTGTGAGCTTGAACCAACAACCTTGCAGTTCAAATGGCTTTGCAGTCTGGCACATTAACCCACTGTGCCACACCAGGACTCCAGGGACTTCATTAATATTGCCCAAAAGACCCCTGGACCATTTCTTCCTGGATTCATACATTCAGCTAAGCTCTCAGCTTTTGGGCCTGGAATGGGGATTGTGGTCTTCACAGACCTTTCTTCACTGGATCTGTGTTAAGGAAATTATTTTAAAGGATAAGATGAGTAGTAATGTGTTTATAATTCCCAAAGTTGGATTTGTAGTGAGAAGTAGGAACATAATAAAGGATACGGATTTCATAGTTTCAGAGGCCAAATATTTCGCCAGAAATAATAGGGGGCCCATTCTTCATCAAAAATCTGACATCTTCCTAGGCACTTGGGTGAGCATGAGACTTCCCTTTCTGAAAAGTATTCATGGGAGATGGCAGAGGAGGAGAGAACGGTTCATGGTGTCCAGGACTAGGAACATTAGAGGGGAGTCTGAAGAACTGCGGGCCTCTCTGTAAGGATTATCCAAGTGAGACAAAGCCTGTAGCTGGTTAGAAGAAACTGGGAGGGTGTTTCCTTAGAGAACAGACAATAAAAACTGTTGGCACTAGGACCTCAGATTAAGGAAAGTATTTGAATAGTGGGATGGGATGAAAATGTTGAGTGCCTGGGATAATGCAGGAGGCAAACTTCTAGAGTCAAGTGAGGGTATCTAATAGATCACATCAGTATAACGTTGCTGAAGCAATCCCCCCAGATATACCCTTTGGCCTTCAGCCAAAGCTCATGGTTAAGTAAATGGCTTCTGTCTTTGAGATTGAGCAAGTAGAGTTACATTTCCATTTAGAGTATCCTCTTCCTTGAAGTTCAGGGAAACAATAATTCCTTCTTGAAAGGGACCCATCCCAAGGCCCCCACAGGCTATCTCAGGTTTCCTTAATCTGTTTGGACAGGAGGGCCCAGATGGGCAGGGGCAGATCTCATCTTGGAAATGGATGAGAAAGACCCTGTTTGTAATGAGAAACTTGCCTCCACCCCATCCCTGTCACACCCTCTTCCCCCACCCCATGCTCTCCCTGTTTACCCTCATACTGGCAGCCTTTCCAGATGTCCTGATCTGTGCCCCCTCCTGCTGAGACTATTCACTGAGCCTAGAGATAAAAGCCCAAGGAAAACCCAAAGACTCGCACTACTCCTGAAACTGATGCAAGATGCAGCTTGTCGCAGCCCTCTTGATCAGCCTACTGCTGTTGCTCCTGGTACTTCCAGGACAACCCCAGGTACAGACAGAAGGGGAGGAATCACAAGCTGGCAGGAGAGATTGCTCTGAGTTTTAGTCTAGTTTCCCTCACTGTTTGAGACTACTTAAGAAGCCCCAGAGTCTGGAGAGAATGAAATTGGATAGACTTAGGAAGGATGGGAGAGACAAAGGAAAGATTACTTCTATATGCTCTGTTCTTTCCCTGGTTTATGTGGGCATAGGGTAACAGAGAGAAGACAAGGATGAAGGCAATGGACGAAAAGACATTCTACTGTACTGTAAGGCCTTGCTTTCTGCAAAACTCTCCCTCTTCCTATGCTGCGTATGCTAGAGCTAAGGGAGGCCATTCTGGACTATTGTAGGCTATAGGACCTCTGCCTTATTATCCTCTTAAAGCTAAAGTATTGAGTTGGGGTTTCAGATTGAAGAGACAACCAGCTTAACCACAAGGACCAGAGAAGCTGTGGGTTAGATGTTTCAGAGAAAATCAGGGAACACACATCTTAATTCTTGAAGAGTCTATAAGGAAAACCCAATTGCTGCTACAGTCCCAATTCAGAACTGGGAAGGGAGATTCTATCTCATAGTGACTGTGGAGAGGTAGCTATAAGGGTATTATAGCAATGACTCATATATAAATATAAATGACCCTTCCTATATAGTGTTGAAAGTACCACGGGCTGCTAAAAGAATAAACAGATCCGTGTTGGAAGATGTGTAGCCAGAGTGCTCCTTGAAGGCCAGGATGGCCAGACTTTATCTCTCATACTTTGGACATGTTGACAGGAGGGACCAGTTATTGGAAAGCGATATCATAGTTGGTAAGGTGAAGGGTCAGAGAAAAAAAAAAAAGACCCCCCCAGAGAGATGTATTGGCAAAGTGGCAGCATCAATGGGCTCAAGCGTGGCAACAATTGTGAGGCTAGTCCTGGACTGGGCAGTGTTTCATTCTGTTATGCATAGAGTCACTATGAGTCGGTACCAACTTAATGCAACCTAACAACAACAAAACCTTCCTATAAAAGAGGCACTGTTCTAAATATTTTGTTGTTGCTCTTGTTAGGTACAGTTCCAGCTAACAGTGACCCTGTGTACCCCGTGACACACTATCTAGTCCTGTGCTATCCTTATAATTATTTTGTTGTTTCTGTCAATTTTTGTAGGCACAGTGTCAACCCATTTCATTGAGGGGTCTTTCTCTTTTTTACTGACCCTCTACTTTACCACACATCCAGGGACTGATAGATACCTCCTTATAACATATCCAAAGTAAGTTTTAACACTGTAAAGAGATTTTTTTTTTGCAGCAGATTTGCCAGTACAATGTCATTTGATTTCTTAACTGTTGCTTCTCTGGGCGTTGATTTTGGATCCAAGTGAAGTGAAATTCTTGACAACTTTAATTTTTTTCTTATTTTTCAGGATGTTGTTTACTGATCTATTTCTGAGGATTTCTGTTTTATGTTGAGGTGATTTACCAATACCTTTATACATATTTATAATTTTCAAAAGAAAACAGGAAGTCAAATGCCTTTATTATCCTTGTTATACAGATAAAGACAAGGAGCTCTGGTAGCATAGTGGTTACGAATTAGGCTGCTAATCTCTCAGTCAGCAGTTCGAAACTACCAGCTGTTCCACAGGATAAAGATGAGACTTTCTGCTCTCGTAAAGATTTATAGCCTCGGAAATCCTGTACAGGGTCGCTATGAGTCAGAACAGACTCCATGGTATTTACCAACAACAACAACACACAAAGACACCGCAGCACAATGTCAGAGTCAGAATTAGAGTTCAGACAGTCTAGAGCCAATGGGTTTGGGTTCTAAGAATGTCAGTAAGATGATAGGCAAGGGAGAAGAATTCCCAAATTATCTATCCTTCAACCTTAGAACCTCCCTACCTCCTTTATTCTCTTTAACTGAGGCAAAGAATCTCCCACCTTCTCCCTACTGGCCTGCACTGCTTACCCTGACATAGCTTCAGCTTTTGCAGTTCCCTTTGGTGTCTAAGAGCATGGAGTCTAGAGCAAACATGGAACCTACCTAGGGCACTTCTCTGCCATGTCACTTATTAAGTATGTAACTCAGTAACACACTTTTGAGATTCTCAGAATCTTTTTTTTTTTTTTTTTTCCCAATTCTAAAATATGGGTTACATTTATATTTTGCTGTGCTCCTGTATGAGTCCTGGTGTGATGATATAGGATAAGCACTGGACTGCTAACTACAAGGTCAGCAGTTCAAACCCACCAGTTTTTCCTTGTAAACCCTATACAGGGTCGTTATGAGTCAGAACTGACTCAACAGCACTTAACAGCACATCAATATGTTCTTGTAAATGCTAAATATTAGTCCAGACTCTGGTGCTGTTAATCTTAATTTCTTGGATGATTGGAAATTCTCTGTTACTGCTATTTTCAAGGCAAGATGAAGTTGAAGGAATTGGCCAACCATCTAGAATGGGCGTACTATAGAACAGTAAAACTCTGAAGCCTATCCTTTAGCATTTCTTTCAGAACAGCTTTGCTCTCTCCCACAGAGCATAAGTTCCCACCCAGCCCTGTGAATGGCTGCCAGCTCCAGCTAGTGCATGAGGTAGGGTAAAGGGTTTTGTTAAGTGTCATAGACAGAGTTGGTTCTGACTCATAGTGACCCTGACTAGGGTTCCTGAGGAGTAGTTTGTGGGTTTCAATCACAGTCCTTGCAGTTCAAGCTGACCTTGCGGTCCAGTGCATTGTCCTGCAATGCTATGCCAGGACTCCAGGGTAAGGGAGTCCTGATAGGGGCTGGGAGTGGACTGCAGCTTCGATTGTGGGAAATCAAGAGAAGGGTGGCTGAAACCCACGATGGGGAGATGCCTAGACAGTGAAGAACACTCTGTGGAGAACTCCTTTCAGGCACTCCAAAGTAGGGACAGCCTCATGTTTTCAAACAGTACATTGTACCTCAACATATTGCATTATGCTCAACCTTGATTTCTTTTGGTTTTGCAGTTGGTGAAAAGCATGCCAGGTTCTGTGGATGAGAATGGCACTTGCCACTGTGTGGTCCACCTGCCCAACAATCCCATTCCCCTGCAGCAGTTGGAGAGGCTGCAGAGTAGGACCCAAGAGCTCCTGGACAAGTATGATCAGAAACTCTCAAGGGTGAGTGTTGAGACTTCACGCTGGGACTAGGAATTCTTCAGATTCAGCCTTTCCTGGACCCAGCCCTGGGCGGGAGAAGGAGCTGAGAGAAACATAGTTCTGCTTTGTGAAACGGAGTCTTAGTATGAGGGGAAATTTTGGTACTCTACTTGGGATTTGTAAGGAGCTCTGGTAGTGTAGTGGTTATGAATCGGGCTGTGAACCGCAAAGTCAGCAGTTAGAAACTACCAGCTGTTCCACAGGAGAAAGATGAGGCTTTCTGCTCCAGTGAAGACTTACAGCCTCGGAAACCCTATACAGGGTTGCTCTGAGTTGGAATGGACTCCTCAGCACATAACCACCACCACTTGGGATTTGTTGTTGTTAAGTGCCATCCAGGCAGTTCTAACTCTTGGAAACCTTGTAAATGTTTCCTAGGAGTGGCTGGTGAACTTGAGGACTTCTGGTGTGGCTCTGTAGGATCAGTTCTGGACTGCAAACCACAAGGTCAGCAGTTCAAACCCAACAGCTGCTCTTCAGAAACCTTATATAAGGTCATTATGAGTCAGAACCGACTTGACAGCACTTAACAACAAACTTCTGGTTTACACTGACCTTGCAGTCCAGTGCATTATCCTACAGCACCACACAATGATAAAAATTTCCATCTCCATGTCTTCTAGATAGGGTGAGAAGGAAAATAGGGAGAGAAAATTTAGGTACAAGCTGTTGTTAAATGCCTTCAACACTTAACTCATAGTGACCCTGTGCAGGGTTTCCAAGGAACACCTGGTGGATTTGAACCACTGACCTTTCAGTTAGCACTCGAGTGCTTGTCCTATGGCACTACCCCAAAACATTAAGGTACAAGTACAGAAAAAACATGGTGATTTCATGTGTGCAGAGTAGAAGTGCTCCCCACGGAGTTTTCAAGGCTGTTAGCTTCTGGAACCACATTGCCAGGCTTTTCTTTCAGGTCACTTTTGGAAAGATTTGAACTGTTAACCTTTTGTCTAGTAGTTGAGTGCTTAAGTGCTTGTGCCACCCAAGGACTAATGAATTGGAATTGACTGGGTAGAAATGTGTCTGTTTCATTTTGTTTCTTTATAGAATAAGCAAATGCTTGGAAGTGGGATAGCCAATGGAAAAGAGGCAGGAGAGACTGAATGGACAAGTTCCAAAAGGGGCAATATGGGGAGGAACTATGTACCACACTTGTGGGCTTGCAACTGATACTCTACAAAAAGATGAAGTGAAGTTTTGTAGCAATGATTTTATTGTAGTTGGTTATAAAAGTCATCCAGTTGGGTCCTGGGGAAAGTTGATTATGTGAGGTCAGATGGAAAGCTGGCAATCTCTCTATTCATTTACTCCCAAGACATTTTGAGGGCACAGTTCTAACCAGGAAAAGGAAGAGAGGACCTGGTGGCACAGAGAAAGAGCTTTTCTCCTGTAGAGAAAAGGACAATATGAATATCTTCAGCTGTAAAACAGTACTAGCCCAATGCCCGCATCAAGGGCTGTTGATGGAAGCGAATAAATATGATACATGTGAAAGCGCTCTGTAGGTTATGTGGCAGTGGAAGGGTATGAGTTGGGAACAGTCACATTTGTTGAAGTTTGGGGGACTACCTGTTGATCCTGTCCATGCCCAGGTCAGTGACTACTCCTGCACCACTGACTATCAGGATAACCAGGTCTTGGAAATGGCCCACAACCTGCAGTCCAAGAGTCCCAGTGCCCTTCCTTCATCCTATGAAGCCCCAGCCTTCAACCTACTTCGCCTGGAGCTGGAAGGAGCACAGAAGTTGGTGACTCAACTTAAGGCCAAGGGAGGATTGAGTAGGTTGGAGGGTCTCCTCAATCAACTCCAGGGCCAGGTAGGTGGATGTGCCTCCCCTCAGTAATTTTCTGTCTCACAAAAACCCACTTGTCTGACAGTTACCAAAACCACTTCTTTCTGTGGGAGAAGCTCCCAAGCTGTTTATTTTGGTGGACTTTTATTAAGAACCCTGCAACCCACATCTTCATCTCATTTCTTTAGGTGGCAAATGCGAGCTATACCCTCAAGCTTGTGGGTGACTCTGACCAGCGTAGCTTCCATTCTCTGCGCCAGGAGGTGAATGTCCTTGAAGGCCAACTGAGTGAGTGTGAGAGATACAGGGAGCAAGACCAGGCCTCCAGTCACTCTGGCTCATCCCTGCCCCCTGGTGAGGCTCCAAACTGCATTTAGTGAGCTCTTCTCTCTCAAGGACTGGATTGTGAGTGCAGGGTTGGCTATGGTCTAGTGAGGAAAGTGAAGTGAAGATCCTGATAGGGAAGAAATACTTCCCATTCTTGTTTGATACAATCTCACATGTGGGTATACCCATAAATTAAGTTAAGCAAAATAGAATTGCTACTAGGGTTCCACTTCATACATGCATGTATATATGTCTCTTATCAGTGGATGACTGAAAACATGTTCTCTCGGTAATATACTTGTCTTAGTCACATTAAGTTGTCTTCAAAAGAATGGTCAAATCAAAAGAGTACCTTCTGAGGGGATCTGCTGGGTCAGTTAAAATCTAAGCCAAGAGAGGTCAACTCAAAGTCATGGAGACTATTTTATAGCGCTCCCAAAGTGGAAATCAAACAATGTTTTGCATTAGGCAAATCTGCTGCACAAGATCTTCTTAAAGTGTTGAAGAGCAAAGATGTCAGCTTGAGGACTAAGGTGGGCCTGACCCAAGCCATGATATTTTTAATAACCTCATATGCCTGTGAAAGCTGGACAGTGAATAAGGAAGACCATGGAAGAATTGATGCTTTTGAGTTATGGTGTTGGAGAATATTGAAAGTGTAATGGGCTGCCAAAAGAACCAACAGATCTGTGTTGGAAAAAGTACAGCCAGAGTGCTCCTTGGAGGCCAGGATGGCCACACTTCATCTCTCATACTTCGGACATATTGTCAGGAGGGACCAGTTGCTAGAGAAGGATATCATGTTTGGTAAGGTGGAGGGTCAGAGAAAAGAGGAAGACCCCCAGTGAGATGGATTGGCACAGTGACAGCATCAGTGGGCTCAAATTTGGCAACAATTGTGAGGTTGGCCCAGATCGGGCAGTGTTTCATTCTGTTGTGCATAAGGTCGCTATGAGTCATTACTGACTTGATGGCACCTAACAACAATGACAACAACAATCTTGATAAATTTTCTCAAAGCACACAGTATGATAATGGAAGCTTATCATAAAGACATTTTAAGAAAATTGAGAACTTTGTTGGCGAAAAAAGGCCAGGAAATTCGCATTGAGAAACTTTTTCCATAATGACAATGCACTTGCCCATTCTTCTAGGGTAGTGAGAGCTGTCTATGAGAATGCAATTGAGAAATCTTACCTTGTCCATTCTACAGTACTATCTTCACCCTTCAGACTTATTTTTCTCCCCCAAACTATGAAACATTGAAAAGGGACATGATTTGAGTACCTTGTTGTTGCTTTTGTTAGGTGTCATTGAGTCAGCACCAACTCAGCGACCCTATGCACAGTAGGATGAAACACTGCCCAATCCTGGGCCAACTTCACTACTGTTGCCATGCTTGAGTCCATTGATGCTGCCACTTGGCCAATCCATCTCTTTGGGGTCTTCCTCTTTTTCTCTGACCCTCCACATTACCAAACATGATATTCTTCTCCAGTGACTGGTCCCTCCTGACAATATGTCTGAAGTTTGAGAGACGAAGTTTGGCCATCTTGGCCTCCAAGAAGCACTATGGCTACACTTCTTCCAAAACGGATCTATTGGTTCTTTTGGCAGCCCATGGCACTTTCAATATTCTCCTCCAACACCATAACTCAAAAGCATCAATTCTTCTACAGTCTTCCTTATTCACTGTCCAGCTTTCGCATGCATATGAGGTTATTAAAAATACCATGACTTGGGTCAGGCACACCTTAGTCCTTAAGCTGACATCTTTGCTTAGGGATGTAAAAATTACTATTTTGTTGTAGTGTAAACTGAGGAATGCAGAATTCTTTGGGGAAGAGTTAGAGACAGGAACATTGCCATCAGAAGTATGTATAAACCTAGATGGAGATGTTGAGAAACAATAACTTCACATTTTGATATTTCTGTTTAATAGAGTTCTCTATGATTTGGTGGCAACAATTTTTACCTTATCCTTGTACATGAACATATAAGCACACCCGTTAGATATACACACTAAACTCTATTCAAAATTGTACCAATTTATGGACTTATTATGTGCACTCAGATGTATATACACTCAAATGTACATATGGCAATTATACTTTCAGAATGTCATCTCTGTGGATTGTGTATTTCACACCCAGTAACTTGCCTGCTCACCTTTTCAGGTTCCTGTGCTCATGGAGGCCTCCAGAAAGTCAGCAGACCCCTTGTGGTGCGCCTCAATTGGAGAGGCTTTTCATACAAAGCAGGTGCCTGGGGCCGAGACTCAGCCCCTAATCCAGTCTCTTCCCTCTACTGGGTGGCCCCTCTGCGTGCAGATGGCAGGTGAGTCAAGGATGAGCTCTGTTCTTTACTCAGGTTCATCCTAAATGTACCCTGTCCCCATCCCAGATTTGTCTTTTGTGGTCCTAGCCTGGCTTTCTCTTCTTTCAGGGATATCCATGGAATAACCTACTGTATAGGCCTGACAGTTTACTTCTAATGCTTGTTTCCTGGTCAAGGATGGCCATTGTTTAGACATTTTTAATACCATGCTAAGCTAAAACTAGTTCTATCTAATCTGAGTCTATCTCAAAAGCAACATTTTCTAGATCTGAGCTTGAGAATTCCAACTTTCTGCTCACTAAATGTAGTGATTATGAATCAGACTGCAAACTGCAAGATCAGCAGTTCGAAACTACCAGCTGTTCAGTAGGAGAAAGATGAGGTTTTCTGCCCCTGTAAAGATTTACAGCTTCAGAAACCCTGTACAGGGTCGCTATGAGTCGGAGACAACTCCATGGCACATAACTACTACCACCACCAAAAGCTTAATTCTAGCATCCTAGAGGGTGCGTTAATAAATATTCCCATCCTGGCTTGTGACTTGGAGTCAAACAGATAAAAATTTGAATCATATTATCAGGAAGGACCAGTTGCTGGAGAAGGATATCACATTTGGTAAGGTGGAGGGTCACAGAAAAAGAGGAAGACCCCCAATGAGATGGATTGGCCAAGTGGCAGCATCGATGGACTCAAGCATGGCAACAGTAGTGAGGTTGGCCCAGGATTGGGCAGTGTTTTGTTCTGCTGTGCATAGGGTCGCTATGAGTTGGTACTTACTCGATGGCACCTAACAACAACAACTATCACTTAAGTGAACTTGGAGAAACAAGTTGTCATCTTGGACTCATTGTTAATTATTTGTAAAGTTAAGATAATTAGACATATGAGGTCATGTGAAGTTACATAGTAAAATGTTGGCAATGTAGTAGGTATAAGTAAATAAAAGAAAAAATATACAATAAAATTTTAATAAAAGAAAAAAAAAGCCAAAATAAATCAATGAATGAGCCCTTCAATAAACTGGCAGCGTGGTTAGGGAGGTAGGCACAACTCACAGGGAGAATGCAAAAGCATTAAGGCCTAAGTGAGTAAAGGGCATAGGAAGAGGTGATGAGTGTGGGTTGAACCAGCTGTGCAAAAGCCTCAGTTAGTCATTGTCAGTGAATAAAGACTGTTGTTGTAAAGTGGCATTCAGTCAGTTCTGATGCATAGTGACCCTGTATGGGATTTGAACTGTCCACTTTGAAGTTACCAGTCCTGTGCTTATCCTACAGTGCCACACCAATGCTCCTAATGAAGGTTAGTGTTATTGATAACAGTTAACAGTTGCTGTTAAGTAGACTTTGACTCATGGAGATTAGGTCTGTCAGAGTAAAACTATGCTCCACAGGGTTTAGGAAAATGGTTGATTTTCCCATTGAAATAGATCATTAGGCCTTTCTTCTTAAGTATGTCGAGGTGGACTTGAACCTCCAACTCCTTGTATATGATACCCAGGGGGAGCTCCACTGCTGATAATCCCTATGAGTCTTACAGACACTGCAGCCCCGGAGTACAGTTAAGCACCTTTGTTTTGTTCTTGTTTTAATCATCTCAAAATCTCTGTAAGCAAAACAAAGCAGGACTTACTATGACAATGAAGAGCAAAAATAATGATAGCTCAGGAATAATTCAAGAAACTTTGCAAAGTCACATCATGAGCATAAATCTCCCTGAATAATGGTTCAGAAGAGCTCTAACACTTGCGTCTTAAGGAAGTGTAAGACAGTGGAGTATAGACACAGGACAATGCCCATAAGAAGAGTATCTATTATTTGTACAATTGCTCACTCTGAGACAAAAATTCATAATGTGTTGTTTTATTAGCATTTTCTTAGTCAGTTTTGACAACAAATGAAGATTCTTTTGTTACTACTTGTACAGATTTTAATTATCAGTTGTATCACTTTCAACAAATTATTTAATCTCTCTGAGATCTAATCTTCTAATCTGTGGGGATAAAATCTACTTTACTGAGCTTCTATTTTATATATATATATATATATATATATATAAACACAAATATATATATATTACTTTTTTTTTTAAAGTTTTTTATTGTGAATTGTGTGATAGTGTCATGATTACAGTCTCCTCCGTGCATCATCATTCAACAGTATTTGCTTCTATTACATTTTAAATACATAAACAGATTTATAGTCTAAGCACTGTTGTTGTTGGTATTTTTATCATTATTATTGTATCTGTTCCTCAGAAACCCTATATAGGGTCACTATGTGTCAGAACTGACTCGATGGCACTTAACAACTACTATTTTTTACAGTATTTTGTCCTACTATGTCCTAAAACTCGATTTTAATTCCAAAGCTCTTGCTCTTAATTAGCAGCCGACCCAGACCTTTAAAAACAGTGCATTCTTGGCAACCCTGCTTATTATTGTGACTTGATGATTTTGATGCGTGGTGGCTTGTCCTAGGTACTTTGACTATTATCGACTGTACAAGTCCTATGATGACCTGGTGCTGCTTAAGAACTATGAGGAGCAGAAGATGGGCTATGGCGATGGCAGTGGCAACACGGTGTACAAGAACTTCATGTACTTTAACTACTATGGCACAGGAGACATAGCCAAGGTAGAACTTTCCTCCAACACCCTAGTGTTGCGGCGTCCCTTGCCTGGTGCCACTTACAACAACCGCTTCCCTTATGCTGGTGTGCCCTGGAAGGACATAGATTTCGCTGGTGATGAGAAAGGGCTGTGGGCGCTCTATGCTACTGAGGAGAGTAAAGGTAACCTAGTCGTCAGTCGTCTCAATGCCAGCACCCTAGAAGTGGAGAAAACCTGGCGCACCAGCCAGTACAAGCCAGCCCTGTCAGGAGCTTTTATGGCCTGTGGGGTGCTGTATGCCTTACGCTCCCTTAGCACCCGCCAAGAAGAGATCTTCTATGCTTTTGATACTACCACTGGGCAGGAGCGGCACCTTAGCATCCTACTTGACAAGATGCTGGAAACACTGCAGGGCATCAATTACTGCCCCTCGGACCATAAGCTCTATGTCTACAATGATGGATACCTGATTAATTATGATCTGACTTTCCTGACACTGAAACAGAAGTCACCAAGACCACTAGCTAAAAGGCCTTCTGGGGTCCGTGCCCCACTTAAGCCTGTCAAATCCAACAAATCCTTCAGGCTGTGAGGCTCCAGGGCTGGGCAGGTCATTGGTGCAAGGGTATTCTCCTCCTCACTTCCAGGTGGAACACTCCCCCAGATGATAATCAGTCCTGATTGGAAGAAATTGATTCTGTCTAGTTAGTTCATAATGTAATTAATATCTAATTCATCATATTAATCACCCCTTAAATAATGGGTGGATGGATTTGATTGGGAAACAAATAAAAAAATCAGCTTGATATCTTGGTATATGTGAGTCTTTTTTTTTTTTTCTGGTGCTTTGGAATCTGATATTCCTGTTTTGGAAATTAAGACTTCTACACATTCATTCTATACATTTGAAGACTAGACAATTCTATGATGCTGTGACCCAGATTGTTAAGAATTTTCTCAGACTGGCAGCATCTGGTTCCAGTGCAGAAGATCCAGAGAAACTGGTTATTAGGGTAAAAGATGGAAGTTCATTCTCCTAACTCTTCTCTTCTGTGGGGTGAATAGACAGAAAAGGGGTGGTCTTGGCCTGAAAATCCCTGTTTCTCTGTTATGTCTCAATCTCATTTTTAAGTACAATTAAGAGAGGTACCTAGGCCTGAGTCCTGCTCTAGAAGTTAGTAACTGGTCAGTTAGCCTGAGGGGGTTCTAACATGGATTGGGCTAGATGTCCAACCTTCCTCGATCAAGAATCCTTTGATGTCATAGCAATAACTCTCCTGGTCTGTTTTCTTTGCTCATGTTCAACGCACTGAGAATATAGGATTCCAGATTCTCTGCTTGCCACTTCTCTGTCTGCATAGAACACCTACCCACTAGGCCAGTGATTAGGACATTCAGGAATTTGACTCTGAAGTCCTCACAGTCATACAGGGTATACCAGAATATTTTACAAACACTGTCTCATAAATACACGTTCACACACACATATACTCACAAATGAACATATACCTTCCACTCCTGAATATCTACTCTTCTCATCTAAACCCAAACATCAACACAGGTATAAATATATATTTGAACATATCTATTGTTAGGGAATTCAAATTCATCAGCTTCCCAAATAAAATTAATGCACAATCCTTCAAATTTGCATGGCAATGAGAATCTGGCTTTTAAGGACCCTGGCCATGTTTCCTTAAGAATCTCAATCAGTGAACATTTTTACCCCTCCTCCTTTATTATAGACATTTTGACCCAAAGGTGGACACTAAAGATGAGGCTGGGACACTGAAACAAATCATTCTAAAATTTCTGTTAGCATAGCATGTAGGAGAGACTGAGGCATATCAGGGTTAAGTAAAAAATGTATGGCTATAAATTCACAAAAACCTTTACTCAACAAAAAATTTTAATGTAGCCCCCAGTAGCTGCTGCTGATGACAGAGGGTCAGGTCCTGGTGCTTGGTGGCTGAAGCTATCTCCTGAGACACCCACAGTCATTGTTGTCAAGCAGGTGCTGCTGAACTGAAAGGTGGTGGCTGTGTACCGCCATGATATCAACATTTCTGGCAACTTCTGCACCAATGAGTTGAAGTATCCAGTTTTCCTCCACAAGCACATGAATATTACCCTATTCCTTGGCTCATATTACTTCTATGCCCCCAGTCGCATCTTTTAATGGTCTGTGCAAGGCATGCTACTTCACAAGACCAAACATGGTTAGGCCTCAATGTGTTTGACAGGATACTGTCCCCACCATGACAGGAAAAATCAGATGGTGGTTCCTGTCCTCAAGGTTGTACGTTTCAAGCCTATGTGTAATTTGCCTATTTGGGCTGCCTAGTGCAGGAAGACTGGAAGCATGAGGCAGTAATGGCCACCATGATGAAGAGGAAAGAAAGAGAAGGCCAAACTCCATTACAGGCAGAAGCAGCGATTTGTGAGGCTGTGGAAGCAGGCCTAGAAGAACTTTGAAAAGTTCGACAAATACACAGAGGTTCTCAAGACCCATGGACTCCTTGTCTGGCCTTATCCTTCCTCTGTCACTGTCCTGGGACATGGGAACCCCTTGGCTACAACCAGTGTAGGGTTGTGCAGAAAGCACATGGGCCTAGCTTATGGTCACTGTTCCCATTTCAGAAAGACCATTCTCTAAAGAGTTGGAAGCTACTAATTTGTTATAAATTTACATAAATAGGTACCAGGGACAACTAGTCACTTCTCTTGTGAGAAATTTTGCAAAAAATGAGCTGGAAAACTAATTGCAAAGAATCCTAAATTATAAATGGGGCATTTTCTAAGAAATTCTGAGTGGTATTAACACTACATAGCTGTAAGAATGTCCAAAGAGTTTATGTTGGACCAGGTGCTCCTGGGTTTTAGAAAGGGTATTTATAAAGACAGATTGGGAGGCAATGATACTGAAAGACCAAAAGGCACTGCCCTGGCTACTTCCTTCTCTTTTGTAATTCAAAACTAATAAGTTGTTTGTAAATAAAACAACAAAAAATTCAAAATGAGAAGCTATTATTTCTCAACATATCCTCCATCAAGGTCAATACACTTTGGAAAGCCATGTTTCTACCTCTCTTAATCCTGGTGTGCACTGTGGGTTAATGTACTGGACTGCAAAGTCGGTTTGAACTGCAAGGTCAGGAGTTCAAGCTTACCAGCCACTCCTCAAAAACCCTATACAGGGTCACTATGGGTCAGAACCAAACTGATAGCACTTAACAACAATAACAACAACATCAATTCTTCCTCAAAGAATTCTGTGCTCTTTGATTTACACCACCTCAAAACAATAGTTTTGGAATCCTTGAGAAACTCAGATTGTGTTCATTTTCAAAGTTCTTTTGAGTTTTGGAAATAAAAATCTGGAGGTCAAGACCAGGGCTTTAGGGTGTATGGGATAAAGTTTCCCAACAAAATTGTCATATGACAGTCCTTGCTACTCACAAAAAAATGAGCATGTACATGGTCACAGTGGAAAACTGAGATTTGGGACAGTTTTCTTGGTCCTTTTCTCACTGGAAAATTTTCAATTTTCTTAAAACTTTTTTTATGATAAGCTCCTGTGATCATCTTGTATCCTTTGAGGAAATCTATCAAGATTACCCCATTGGAATCCCCAAAGCAAAAATCCAAACAACTGTTGCCATTACCTTCTGAGATGATTTCTATTGAATTTAATTGGTCCAGCAGATCACCTTGGAAGCAACTATTGTATTGACCTTGTTTTTGCATGCACGCTAATAAATGAGACTAAGACAAGAATACTGAGAAAACATGTCTTCAACCATCGGCTGATCCCAGAGACATAGTTACATGCATTTTGTGTATATAATAAACCTGAGCATGTATGAATGAGGATCCAGTTAGCTATGTATTTTTACTTAGTCTGTGCATAAATGAAAAATAATTTGTAATGAATGACTCATCTTTAATTTGGAATGCCCTACTCCTGCTTCTTAGGGCCAAAGACATCTAGCCACTGAAAACCTTCTGAATCACAGTGGAACGTTGTTAGCTATAGTGCTGGAAGATGAGCCCCTCAGGTTAAAAGGCCCTCAAAAATGCAACTGTGAAAGAGCTGTCTCCTCAAAGTAGAGTCAAGTGTAATAACATGAATGAGCAAAGTTTGGGAGACACAACCCAAAATGAGAAGAAAACAACTGCAAACATCTATTAATAATCAGAATGTTAAAGGTACAAAGAATGAATCTAGAAAAATTGGAAGTTGTCAAAAATGAAATGGAACACATAAAGATCAATAGTCTAGGCATTAGTGAGCTGAAATGGACTGGTATTGGCCATTTTGATAATCATATGGTTTCTTAAGTCAGGAATGGCAAATTGAAGAGTAACAGTATAGCATTAATTGTCAAAAAGAACATTTCTGAAGTATAAAGCTGTCACTGATAGAATAATATCCATACACCTACAAGGAAGATCAGAATCCTGGTGTGGTTCTATAGGATAAGCACTGGACCACAATGTTGTTTTGAAGTGTAAGGTCAGTGGTTCAAACTCACCAGCAGCTCCTCAGAAACCCTATACAGGGTTCACTATGAGTAGGAATCACATTGATGGCCCTTAACAACAACAAGGAAAACCAGCTAATACAACTATTATTCAAATTTATGTACCAATCACTAAAGCCAATGATTAAGAAATTGAAGATTTTTTTTCAGCAGAAATTGATCAAACATGCAATCAAGATATATTCATAATTACTCGTGATTGGAATGCAGAAGTTGGAAACAAAAAGGAAGGATCAGTAGCTTGAAAATATGGTCTTGGTTATAGAAATGAAGCTAGGGAGTTCATGATAGAAGTTTGCAAAACCAACGACTTCTTCATTGCAAATATCATTTTCCAGCATTTTAAATGGTAACTATACACATGGGCCTCACCAGATGGAATACCCAGGAATCAAATTGACGACATATATGGGAAGAGACAATGGAAAAGCTCTATAACATCAGCCAAAACAAGGCCAGAGGCCGACTCTGAAACAGGCCATCGATTTTTCATATACAAGTTCCGGCTGAAACTGAAGAAAATTAAAACAAGTGTGTAAGAGCCAATATATGAACTTGAGTACATCTCACCTAAACCTAGAAACCATCTCAAGAACAGATTTGATGTATTGAACACTAATGACCAAAGCCTTGAGTAGTTGTATGATGGCATCTAGAACATCATACATAAAGAAAGCGAAATATCATTAAAAAGACAGGAAAGAAAGAAAAGACCAAAATAGATGTCAGAAGCAACTCTGAAACTTGCTCTTGAATGTAAAGCAGCTAAAGCAAACAGAAGAAACACTGAAGGAAAAGAGCTGAAAGGAAAATTTCAAATGACAACCGCAGAAAACTAAAGTATTATAATGAAACATTCAAAGACCTGGAGCCAGAAAGCCTAAAGGGAAGAACGTTCTTGTAATTTCTCAAGATGAAAGAACTGAAGAAAAATTAAAGCTTCGACTTGCGATATTGAAGGATTCAATGAGCAAAATATTAAGCCATGCAGAAAGCATCAAAAGAAGAACTGTATCAAAAAGAATTGGTTGATGATGTTCAGTTATTTCATGAGGTAGCATATGATCAGGAACTGATATATTGAAGGAAAAAGTCCAAACTGCACTGAAGCATTAGAAAAAAAAAAAAAAAAAAAATCACATGGCTCCAGGAATTAATGGAATGCCATCTGAATGTTTCAACAAACTGATGAAGCACTGGGCGCACTCATTGTTGTTGTGAAATGCCATTAAGTGAGTTCCTACTAATAGCGGCCCTGTATACAGCGTCTGAGGAGCAGCTTGAACTGCTGACCTTGTGGTTAGCTGTCCAGGGATTATCCTCCAATGCCACATCAGTACTTCAAAACACTCATGAGTCTATGCCACAAAATTTTGAAGACAGTTGTCTGGCCAATCAACTGAAAGAGCTCTATATTTGTGCCCAAACCAAAGAAAAGTGGCCCAACAGAATGCAATAATAAAATAATATCACATGCAAATAGAATTGTGCTGAAGATAATAATAATTAAAAAAAAAAAAAAAACATGCACAGAAAAATAGTTGTAGCAGTACATCATCAGAGAGTTGTTAGAAATTCAAGTCAGATTCAGAAGAGGACATATAATGAGGGATAACTATCATTTACTTATGTCAGATGGATCTTGGCTGAAAGCAGAGAATACCAGAAAGATGTTTGCTTTTCTTTTATTGACTATGCAAAGTATTTGTGTGAATCATAGCAAACTATGGATGGATAACAGTGTCAAGTTTGGAAATTCTGGAATATTTCATTGTGTTCATTCAGAACCTGTACACAGAACAAAGCCAGTCTATTCAAAGAGAAAAAGGAGATACTTAACAAAAGTGTGCATCAGGATTATGTCTTATTAGTATACTTATCCAGTCTGTATGCTGATCAAATAAACTGGGAAGATGGGTTATATGCAGAAGGACATGGAATCAGGATTAGAGGAAGGCTCATTAACAACCTACTATTTGCAGATGATACTTTTCTTGCTGAAAGTGAAGAGTGGTGGAAATACGTAGTGATGAAGACCAAAGCCGTGGATATTAAGAAAACACAAATCTGCATAACTGCACCAATAGACAATATCATGATAAATGGAGAAACTCTTAAAATTGCCAAGGATTTCACTTTATTTGGATCTACAATCAATGCTCATAGAAGCAGCAGTCAAGAAATCACGTGACACTTTGCATTGGGCAAATCTGCTGCAAAAGACCTCTTCAGATAGTTAAAGAGCAAAGATGTCAGTTTGAGGTATTCTAACCAAAGCTGAAATATTTATAGTAGCCTCTTATCTATGTAAAAGCTGCACAATGAATAAGGAAGACCTGAGAAGATTTTTTTGCCTTTGGATCATGGTGTTGGCAAAGAATATTGAAAGTTCTATGGACTGCCAGAATAGCAAAGAAATCTGTCTTGGAAGAAATACAGCCAGAATGCTCCTTAGAAGTTAGGATTTCGAGACTTTACCTCAAGCACTTTGAACATGTTAATAGGGAAGAACAGAATCTGGAGAAGGATATCATGCTTGGTAAAGTAGAGGGTCAGTGAAAATAAGGAAGACCATCAGTGAGATGGACTGACACAGTGACTTAAAAAGTGGGCTCAAACAACAAGTAGAATTTTACTGCAGGCAAATTTGTGAGGGTGGTTCTGGAGTAGACAATTTTTCATTCTGTTGTACGTAAGTTCACCATGAATCAGAACAGATTTGATGGCATCTCATTCCAACAACAATTGTTACTGTTGTCGAGTGCCATTGAGTCAGTTCTGATTTATAGCGACGCTGTATAAGGTTTCTAACAGTGGCTGGTGGGTTTGAACTGCTGACCTTGTGCTTAGCAATCCGGTGCTATGCTACAGATCCACACAACAGTGGATCCCCCAAACATCCTCTTTCCCCAGCCAGTCTTGTGTTGGCAGGGACTGAAGCTAGAGCTGACATCACAATATCTCTTTTCTGACAAGTAGATGAGACTGATGGGTGTGGCAGGGTGAGAGGCCACCCTGGGAAGAGTTAGCACCACTTAGTTCATCCTGTACCAAGTATGAATCAGTAGCCAAGACAGGTCCCAGCTGGGTCACATCTGGAGAGCTCGGGTGGGGGTATACCACCACAAAGTATCTGGCCCCAGCCCAGTCACTCATTCATTTTTGGAGAACAAGGAAACTAATCAGTGACCTGGGAATACAACTCCTGAGACAAAGGCCAGCAGAAATATTTGGCTGCCTTCACCCCTTCTGCCCCTGCATCTGCTGCTCCCCATCTGTACACCCATTAAGGTCCATGCCGCATGTCACCGCCCGAACCCTCAGGATGGCCCCGAGTGGGTGTCCTATGAATCTGCTTTCGGACAAGAATATCTCTTCAAATGTCACTCGGGTAACTGTGAAGACATCAGGCAAGCAGCAAGACTTTATGGTAGCAGATGATACCTTGGTGAGGCAGTTCAAGGAGAAACTATCAGCTCATTTCAAATGTGAAATGGACCAGTTAGTGCTGGTATTCATGGGTCGACTTCTCAGAGACCATGACACACTGAGCCAGAGGGGCATCCTGGATGGCCACACCATCTACCTAGTCATCAAATCTAAGCATGGCCCTCAATCCGTAACCCATTCCTTCAGGAAGTTGCCATGCGATGAGCCTGATAAGAGGGATGGAACTATCAAAGGAAACAGCATTGGGTTGCATCAGCCTGCTAGCATGAGTCAAACACCATTGGAACCACCCTTCTTTGTTAAGCCTGAAATGTCCAAGGTAAATATTCAGAACCTGGAAGTGGACAGTCCTGGGCATATGGCACAGATGCTGGATAATCCTAGCATCCAGCAACTTCTCTCCAACATGAATCTCATGAGGCAGTTTATCTCAGAACTTCCAGAGATGCAACAACTGATGCAGCAGAACCCAGAGGTTTCCCAAATCCTTGACAATTCTGAGATATTATGGCAGACTCTGGAACTGGCCAGGAACCTTGCCGTAATCCAAGAGATAATGCAGATTCAACAACCTTCACAGAGCCTTGAACATTCACAGAACCCACAGCTCCATCTGGGCTTAGAGACAATACCAAGTGAGGACAATGTCTTGAGTCAGAGCCATGCTGGTTTCAGTGATCAAATACCCAATAACTTGCATGATATCTTTGGGAATAACCTTTCCAAAGTTCTCCTGCCAGGAAAAGTTCCAGAACATGTCCAGTCTCCACCCTCATCACCGCCATCTCAGGAACAGCGGGACCCACTCCCACAGCTTCCTACAACCCGAGTCATTTATACCAGTTCATGCGGTTTATCATCAGCCAATACCACCCCCAGCAGAATGAACCATACTGCCAAGGTTAATGCTGCTACAGCTTCCACTAAGGACAGAAGCCACAAGTGTGCAATTCAGCAGCCAGTTGAAGTGCCAGCCCTACCCAGCATGATCACCCAGCAAGAGCAGACAGAAAGTAAGGATGACATCTCTCTAAGTGACTCAGATCAGAGACTGGAGGATGATCTGCAGTTGCTGGATGAACAGACCAACTCTCAGATTACAAGAAACGTGATGCAGTTGCTAATGAGCGACCCTTGCCTAGCAGCCCACATGATGTTGTTCATGAGTATGCCCCAGCTGAGTGAACAATGGAGGCAGCATATGTCCACATTCCTACAGCAGACGCAGCTTTCAGACTTGCTGGTAACCCTAGCCAACCCTAAGGCATTGCAGGCAATACTGCAGATTGAACAGGGTCTCCAGCTATTGGCCACAGAAACTCCTGTTCTTCTACCCTGGGTTGCACCCTACCTTTGGGGCCTAGGTTGGCTTCCTGGCCCCAGCTGCAACTTCTCTGACATGGCTCCCTGGTCATGGGATGTGCCAGACATGATCGACCCCAAAGGGCCTGAGTTTTGCCACAAATCTGAAGCAGTACTGCAGATGTTACACTCTGAAGACTCCGCCCACTCTCTACAAGCCCCTGAAATTCGCTTCAGCAGGCAGATGGAATCTCTGCAGGCCATGGGCTTTGGAAACCATCATGCCAATCTGCAGGCACTCATCGCCACTGAGGGAGACACCAGTGCTGCTCTCTGGAAACTCAAGAGATCCCAGGGATTCTAATCACCGTGCTTACCTACTTTCTTGTTACCTGTTTGTCGATCCATTTTTTTTTTTTTTTGCCTCACTTGCCTTCTCTACTTCTTTGGATGCATCCAGCCAGCAAGAGCCCTGGGGCAGGAGAAAACCACCAATGCTTTCCCTATTGAGTAACAAGTCATTGACCTTGGCTAGATCTGTCAATAAAATGGCTACACATACTTCCCCCATCTGAGGTTTGATTTTTGTTTCCTTCCTCATTAAGTAATTAGCTGTGTGTGATGCTTTTGTCTAACCTACCATACATACATACATGAACACATGCACATGCCACATACATATTAATAGAGATAAAGGGATCATAGTTTCACAGAGAACCAAATGTATATATATGAAACTATGTTCACATACATAAGAACATGCATGCACAGGCCCAGATAACTGTACAAAATACACAAGTTCACATGCAACACAGATTCACATATATGAGCACATATAAAGCCAAAACAGAGAATTATGCAAGCCATGTATAAACACAGATATACACAAAACCAGAAATGCATAAACAGAAACATATAGAAAAACACAGCCACAACATACGTATATAAAAGGGGAAATTTTATAGATAAACTTAGATATTCATCCACAAGATTGCCTTACTTGTTTACTCAAATTCAGTGAGTCTGGAAGCGAAAGAATTGCCTGGTAGGCCAGAGTAGGAGGAACCCATAGATCAGCCAGGTCCTAAAGAGTGTTTATCTTCACAGAAGCCTGTTGCTAATCATCAATGCTACGATCGTACAATTCAATACTAACACCCTGTTTGATAACCTACCTGTCAGATGGTTTTGATTTTTACTAAATTTTTTCTCAGTAAACAGCCACTTGATTTCCTGCATTCTTCTAGGGTATAATAATGATGATGTAAAAGAAAATCTTTATGTCATTCTGGTCCCCTCTCTCACATCTCAAATTCTATTCACGAATCCATTAATACTTTGAAAATATGTTCAGACTCCATGGTTAATGTTGAATTAGAGAGAAGACAAGGACATAGGTTGTTTGGAAAAAAGAGTCCTGATTGGGATTTAGCTGAATTTGGGTCTGAATGAAGAAACAGGACTGAGAGGTCTTTGCTAACATTTACCACATAACAGGTTGTATGGAAGCAAGACTTGGCCTAGACTTGGCCCTCCTCTGAAGACAATTGAGGTATAAAGGTAGGAAAGTTAAAGGTGATGGAGGACTTTCCAGAGATCCAGAGAACCTTGGAGGAATCTCAAAACTCCATCGTATGAGGCTGTGATGTCAGTGCTGAGGTCACAGAGGTGACCTGATGGAGTGGGTTCCGGCTCAGAAGGTCTCAGGGGTGCCTGTGCAACAAGATGAGGGTGGTTTGGAGTCCTGCATAAGAGGACAGACGGGTCACAGCTGATTGGTGTGTATTCCCCAAACAGTCCTTCTTGCATTTCCTTATCACTCATTAACTGCACATCTTTTCCCCAGAGCCCCATGTCTCTTCCCTAACCCCAACATCTCTCAACCCATTATTCCCCATAAGCATTCTCCTAGGCACTTCCCATTCCCTTTCATGCAAATCCTGCAGCTTTCCCGAGCTCAAGACCCCAGACCTTCTTGCTTACCTTTCCTACTTTTGCCATTGCCCACAAGGATGATCTTGGTTTCATCCTCATTCCCCCAGCTGTGTCCCCACAGACCTGGATCTCCTGCTGCCCACCATGGCCAAAAGTGGAGAGACCCTGCCACAGGGCAACCCAGCAGCAGCCCAGGACCCCCACCTCATCAAGGTGACAGTGAAGACGCCCAAGGCTAAGGAGGATTTCTCAGTTACAGACACATGCACCATCCAGCAGTTGAAGGAAGAGGTATCCCAGCGCTTTAAAGCCCACCCTGATCAGCTGGTCCTAATCTTTGCTGGCAAGATCCTCAAGGACCCTGATTCTCTGGCACAGTGTGGAGTGCGAGATGGCCTCACAGTGCACCTGGTCATCAAGATGCAGCGGCGGCCCATGGGTACTCCGTGCCCAGTTGCTCCAGTCCCTGCCCCAGCCCCAAACCCTGGATCACTTCCCCAGCCAAACTCCATTTTCCCATCAGACGGGCCTCCCACTTTCAGCTTAGGTACCCTCACAGGCCTCAATGGGCTGGGCCTGGCCTCTGGTAGCTTCTCTGACCAGCCAAGCTCATTTATTTGGCAGCATGTTTCCGTGCCTGAGTTTGTGGCTCAGATCATTGATGATCCTTTCATCCAGGGTCTGCTGTCTAATACGAGCCTGGTGCGGCAGCTGGTTCTTGACAATCCCCACATGCAACAGTTGATCCAGCAAAACCCCGAGATTGGGCATATTCTTAACAACCCTGAAATCATGCGGCAGACACTGGAGTTCCTGCGCAATCCTGCCATGATGCAGGAAATGATGCGCAGCCAGGACCGGGCCCTCAGTAACCTGGAAAGCATCCCTGGTGGCTATAATGTACTTCGTACCATGTACACAGATATTATGGACCCGATGCTTAATGCAGTCCAGGAGCAGTTTGGTGGCAACCCCTTTGCTACTGCCACTAATGCTGATACCACTGCCGGCAACAGTCAACCTTCAAGAACTGAGAACTGTGACCCTCTCCCCAACCCTTGGGCTTCCACATATGAAGGCTCAGGGGGTAGGCAAGGAAGGCAGCCTGGGGACCAGAATGTATCTGAAACTAGAAATGGGGTCTCAAACTTTCCGGGTACTATAGGGCTCTATGACTATCTTCAACAATTATCTGAGACTCCTCAGTCCATTGGAACCTACCTGCAGGGAAATACATCCTCCCTCAGTCAGGAACCATGCCCACCAGGAAACCGAGTCCTTCCAACTTCATCCTCATCTCAGGAACCTGGGTCAGGCCAGTCAGTCTCCAAAGAGTCAGTAGCCATCAAAGGAAATTCCTCTTGCAGAGCTTTCCTGGGATATTCCACAGAGAGCAGTACTGGGCAAAGTGGAGGCCAAGATGGGGCAGGGAAGGGCTCCACTGGCCACAGTACCAATATGCCTGATCTTGTCTCAGGGCTAGCAGATTCTGCTGAAAGGGCCCCATTAGTTCCTTCATCATCTTCCCCTATGACAACCACCTCTGGAGTCCCTGAACCTACTTGGCTGCCACCACCAACTTATTCAAGACCTTTAAGAACAGCTGACCTGAATCAGGATGCCCAGATGCAGGAGGAGATGCATCAGCAACTTCCACTGATGCTGCACCTTCAGGCAGCCGTGGCAAACCCCCGTGCCATGAATGCCCTCTTGCAGATTGAGCAGGGTCTGCAAATCCTGGCGACAGAAGATCCGCGCCTCCTGATCTGGTTCATGCCTTGCCTAGCAGGACTGGGGAGTATGACAGGAAGTATAGGTCCAAGAGACGGTACTTGCATGCCTGAGAATCCTCCTCGAGCCCCAGCTCCAGAGGTTCCCCAAGAACAAGGCTCTACTGAGCTGAGCCTCCCTTCAACTCCCTTCCTCCGGATGTTACAAGTTTTAGCTAGTACCAATCACCAGCAGCTGCATCCTGCGTCTCACTTCCAGGTGCAGCTGGAGCAATTGCGGGCCATGGGTTTTCTGAATCCTGAAGAGAATCTCCAGGCACTTATTGCCACGGGGGGTGATTTGGAGGCTGCTGTGGAGAGGCTCAGGCAGTTGTAAGAGCACGAGTTGTTCAGAATGCATCTTTTCCTCTCTGCCTTCTACCCCATACCACTATCCTAGCTTTCCCATTCTTAAATGCAACTGCTGTATGAACCAAATTTACTATGCTACCCTTTACTGCAGAGATAATGTTGTTCCAGAGTCAATGAGGAAGAAATGAGAGCCAGAACTGGGTGGGGGTGCTGTATGACCCAAACACTCCTGCCACTGCATCACATGGGGAACCTATCTGAGCTCTGCTTGTGCCTATCTTGAGATGCAATTACATCCAATTTCCAGTGTCAGCTGTACCCTGAGTGTGATTCTTTGTGGGCTGTGAGAGGGGAGGAAATGTGGTGATAAAGGCTGCCTCTAATGACAAGAAAAGACTTGTAAGGAGAACTACTGGGATCTGAAATGGGAAGGTTCAGAGACATGGAAAACAGAGGAGAGAGGATAGGGTCTTTAAGCAATCCTTCCAAGACTAAGGCCTGTAGACTGTCTGGGGTTCTTCCAGAAGTCACCCAGATTTTGTGTTCCTTAGGAGACGACATCCTTTAACTCTTTTTCGGGATCTCCACCTATCAGTCTGACTACAGGTGAAAAGAGCATCCTTTTTGTCTTTTTTTTTTTTTAAATGCGCATGCAGACTACCCCACAGGTGGCTCTTATTTAAGGATTAGATGCGGAGCCTTGGTGAACGGAGACAGCAGCAAAGGTTTGCTGGGCTCTGAGTTCCTTTAACCTCACTGAGCTTGCAGAGGTACTTTCCCTAGTAACCCACCAGAGGATTCATTTCACTGCCATGGAATCTGCTTATCCTGGAGTTTGTCTTTCTTACAACTCCTAGATCATTTACTCATTCATTCAATTGAAATTGAGGTATTAGAATTCAGTGTGAGCAAATGCTCTCTTATGGTCTGATGAAAGGAAATCATACTCTTAAAATATTTATTAGGTATGAATATAAATTATGCTAAGAGCTATAATTAAAATGTGAACTGAATAACAGGGACTTTATGTGCTCTGGGAGGGGAGAGGGTCAAGGAAGTTGGGGAGTTAATACATTCTAAGTTGAAATGTGGAAAGTGGAAAGAAGTGGGTAAATGGTCTGAAGGAGAAAGGAAGAGAATTCTGGAAAAGACTGTTAAGTATAAAATGGTCAAAAGTGTTAAGATAGAATCAGAACTGACTGTGAGGGTTAGAAATGTAAAGGTAGACATTTTGTAGCAAAAGGAGGGGAGTGGCTGACTTTGCAGTCCAGGAGTGGTGGTACTTGGGACCATCAAAGGAGAAGAGCAGAGTGCGAGACCCTACCCAGAGAAACAGTGACACCAGAGATGGAGGCAGAGATGATGATGTGGAGAGATGGAGCGGCTGGGGACTCTAGACCCAGAGATGGAAAGGGGCTGTATGCTGATGACTAGGGGACAGGCTTGCGGGTTATATACCCTTTGGTTGTTTGATGATGCTTGGAGGGGATTGTAATCATGGCAATGAAATGATATACGATAGGATGAATGTAAAGCTAATGTTCTATGTAAACTACCACACAATTCACAATAAAGTATTAAAAAACAACAAAAAACGTGTTAGGATGGAAGATACACAGCACATGGGAGGTGCCCTCGGCATCTCAGTCTAAATTCCCGTTTGCACTCAAGGGGTCTTTTCTCCCATGGTGCCTCTCTGGTAAAAGTGTTACAATTGATCAAACAAGTGAATCGTGTTTTCCAGTACACAAATGCATAAACCTGTCCATAGGTGCACACTGAGAAGCCCTTAATTTTAGATAAATGCAGAAATACAATGTGTATTCACACTTAGACATGCTTTCACTTGGGCACATTCAAATAAGTACACAAATATGTGTCCCTCCTATGTATATGTGCACAAGCACACATACAAAACAGTCTTAAATTATACTTGTATCACAGAATGGGAATGTAAACGAGAAGGATTAATGCTTTATTCCTGTCAAGGAAAGAAAAGGATCCTTGATGGAGATTCCCAATATGAGAAAAGCACAATGGCTTCTGTTTAAATGTGAGACACCAGATGACGTGAGTTTTTTCAGGGACTGTAAACAAAACAATCTCTGCCTGGAGCCCAGACTACTTAGAGTGGCTTCTCTCTGCCATTTAGCTACTTAGCATGTGGGTGAAGGAGATGACACATGCTTTGGGGGAAAAATTTCTTCCACAGTTTTAGGTTTTAACCTCTGGATGGAGGACATGTAGGTAAGACACTTCTCCAACTCCACCACTTATCAGGAGTGGGGGGTTCTAAATGAAAGACCTAATTGTTCTGGGTGATATTAGGCTACAGGAAGAGGAAAGTCTTGTCTCTAGGTTTCTTGTAACTACTAAAATAAAGTGCTCTAAGAGTTGTGTCTGACTCTGATCTCTAACATCTACTCTTAGAAGGCTAGGTAGGTCCAAGGAAAAGTCTCGGAGAGAAAGGTTGCTGCTTTTGCCTGCCTTCAATCTGGGCAAAAAGAAATCTGAAGGTTTATATGAAGTTAAACCCAATTCAGTAGTACAGCAGGTAGAAACTTGAATTAATTAATTAAGGGAAGAGTTAATATAATGGATTATTTTAGGGCCACATCTTCTTGAGGGTCCTCAACAGCTGATTGGGATCCTATCTCTAGAGTCAGTAGAGACGGAACTCATTGGCTACATGGTGGTGAATCCAGAAAGGGGAGGTTCCTGGGGCAGAGATTATCGTTGTCCTTCACCTAACATCTAATGCACCTGATAGGATCTCAAGAAACGATTAAAGGTTGAGGTGGAGTAAGTGAACTACTGATTGAACAAATGATTCAGAAGACTAGGTAGATATGAATCAAATAGAATATGGCACATAACCAGAATTTGTGACTTGTGGAATATAAAGGCTTCTGGAGTTACAGGGAGAGGATACCCAGAAGGATGAAGTTATTGAAAGGACAGATCTCTTGAGATCAGTCCTTGCTCTGACCCTCACACTCAGCAGTCATTCTTATCCAACCAGTCCCTGCTCTAACCCTCATCAACAATCACCCAAGATGTAACATCTGGGTCTTGAAAGGACAGATTAAGGCAGTTGTGTAGGTAGAAAATAGAAGATATAGGGTCACAGAGCTTTCTGACCCGGCTCTTGGTCAGACCAAGAGATAGGCTAGAAGGAGAAGTGGTAAAGTCTGCAGTGGTGATTTCCAGTCAAGGGTCAAGGAAATAAGAGACAAGTATTATCCAAGGAATAGAAAGACTTCTGTGCATCTGTGGTCCTTTACCTTTTTAAAAAATATATTATCATATTTTTCTGCTGTAAATACATGTCCATATATTTTTTTCTTAGATTTTTTTTTTTGGGGGGGAGGCGGTTATACTACCTACAGGGAGCCCTGATAGCCTAGTAGATTACCAGCTTGACTGCTAATCAGAAGGACAGTTGTTCAAATCTGCCAGCCACACTGCAGTAGAAAGATGAGGCTTTCTGCTCATGTAAAGATTTAGAATCTTGGAAACACTAAACAGGGTTGCTGTGAACTCAATGAACTCAATGGCACACAACCACCAACACCATTACTTACAGGGAACTTGGTGTCTCTGTAGAATAAGTATTGGACTGTGAACCACAAGATTGGCAATTTGAGCCCACCAGCCACACCATGGGAGCAAAATGAGACTTTCTGCTCCCTCAAAGATTTACAGCTTTGGAAACCCTGGACAGGGTTGTTGTGGGTCAGAACTGATTTCCTGGCACTCAACAACAGCAACAATGCTACTTACATTTAATTATGACAGACATATCTGTTCCATGTGTATCCTGATCCAGTTGTGGTCCTGACCAAATGACATTCCAAAAATTGTACTGAATGTAATATTTTATGTCTAAAATAATACCCAACATTTGTGTCTGCTATGTACCAGGCATCTTGGGTTAGACTTTACATGCATAGCCTTCTTATGTCTTTAAAAGAAAGCTGTGAACTACCATTTTTCAGGGGATAAAACCGAGACTTAAAGAGGGTAAATAGCTTGTCAAAGGTTATGAAGTGGTAGAAATGGAATTTAAACATAAAACTATTTTATTTTAGAGTCTAAGCTCTTTTTTTTTCTCTCTCTCTCAAATGGCTTATTGGTAAATTGATTGATTTTACTTTATAGTTATAGAATTTATATATATATACATACACATATGAGGTAAGATGGTGAATAGACGTTAGCTCCTCCTGAAGGATGAAGTGTGGTTCTTGTGCTGGAGAATTCTGTGCCTAGCATAAGCAGGGCTCCTGCCTTGAGTGACAATTGTGCAAGTGAACTTGGAATGGATGTCAAGTCTCTTCTTCAAATATTTTATGTCTTCATTCTAATAATTGTTAAATTATCAAAATCTATAGCCAAAGTTACTTTCAGATGGTTTCTTTTGTCTCACCTAGGATGCTCTGAAAGTTATGATCAGAGTTTATTTCTCTGAGAGCAACCATGTTTAAAAGATTTTGAGGCGTTGCGTTGCTGTCTTTCTTAGAGTCATGTTGAAGGGTTTGTCAGGAGGGCCACAGAAATACAAACTGCTTGGGAGACATTGGGAACACTTCCTAAATTAGTTCAGCCCAGTGACTTTTCTACTCAGTAATATTTACTTAGCAAACTCAAATGGTAGGACTTTGAGCAGTGTAAATCATGTTTTTGTTGTTGTTGTTATGTGCCATCGAGTTGGTTCCGACCCATAGCGACCCTGTACAGGGTTTCCGAGGGTGTAAATCTTTACGGGAGTAGAAAGCCTCATCTTTCTCCCGCAGAGCAGCTGGTAGTTTCGAACCGCTGACCTTAAGGTTCGCAGCCAGATTCGTAACCACTACGCTACCAGAGCTCCTTAAATCGTGTTTTTAGACAAGGATATTTTAATCTTTCTATTGCTATTTAAATCATAAAGGAAGTTCAACATCAGGAAGATTGTAGAGACACCCACCCTTCCCCCATTCAAGTGTGCCTCTCAACTATGACCTCATTACTGACATCATACCCCTTAAGGCAGCCCCAGGAGAAGGAGAGTCTACCACCTCTATAGGAGCCAGGTGGGTGCAGGGATACACTGGGAGCTGTCATCCATAGGACGTGGGTGACAGAACATCACTGGACACTTATTAGTCCCTGCACCCAGGGTTGCTCAGTGCTACATCTAAGCGTCTACACACGCTGCACCCAGGTGGTCGTGCATTCTGTTTCTGAAGAATTATGGCAAGGGCTAGAGAAGAAGCAGGGGACAATCAGTTGGTATCTGGCCGGGAGCCATCATCACGTACCATCAGAGTGTTTGTCAAGACCCCACAGGATTGTCAGGAATTTATGCTGGCAGAAAACAGCAGTGTCTGCTACTTCAAGAAGCAGATCTCCAAACGCTTTCACTGTGAGACTGATCGACTGGTACTCATTTTCACTGGAAAGATCCTTCGGGACCATGACATATTGAGCCAGCGTGGCATCCTTGATGGCACTACCATCCATTTGGTTGTGAGGACCCGTTTGAAAGTATCAGGCGGTTTGGGAACTCTGCCAGGTCCTACAGGTCAGTGCCCCAGCCACTCTGGACCATCGACCTCTGGAAGGGCTAGGATGCTGGGCAGGCTGGGCAGGCTGGGCCGGCTGGCCCGGAGCTCACCAGAGCTGATGGACTTTGTTGGCCAGCTGACACAACTCCTGATGGCTTCCTCTGAGTCTGGGGTACAGTACCTGGAAGAACCTCTGGTCCAAGGCCAGGAAAATGAGAAAGCAGCCACTACCAGTCATGTTCCCGAAACCTCAAGGCCAGTGCAGAAACTTGAGTCAGCTCCCAAAACTCTTGAGATGCTGCAGAGTCCAGTACAGCGCCAGGAACTCCTGCCAACAGGAAAACCAGAACTGGAGGCCTTGAAGGCAGTATCAGGTGGTGACAATGCTATGCATTCAGGCTACTCTGATGTCCACCATCTCATGCTCTCCACGTTGGCCTCTTTGGTTGCCTCCAAAGGTCACATTCCAGATTATGAGTCCTGGAGAGGGAAGACCAATGCTCAAAGCAGTAATGATACCAACCCGGTCATTCCCACCACTTCAGCGCCTGCAAGGCCACTGACACAAGAGAACAGTGCAGGAATACATGCCCAGGCTGGGGGCATGGCTTCAGATCTGGCCAATTCAAGGTACAGAACCAACATGCTAGATTTATACTCAAGTCAGGAGTTTTCTTCCCAGGAAAGTCATCAGTCCACAGGAAAATCTACTCTAACCAATCAGCTGAGACCCTCACCCTCTGCTTTGCATAAAGCTTTGCATGTCTTACAGCAGAATCCAACTTTGTTACATCAACTGGCCACTGACAGCCCCCTGCGACATCATATACCACTGCTTCCCATCCTCACCAACCCACGAGCCCTACAGGCATTGATCCTGATTGACCAGGGAATGCAGATGCTGTCTAGGGAAGTGCCTGGTCTGGGGCCTTGCTTATGGAACGCAGGTAGATCACGTGGGACTGGAGGAGTCTCCGAACCTAAGGGTGAAGGGCAGGGTCATAAAGCAGATGCTGCACAACCCACCTTGGCTGTTCTTCAATTCCTCCATTCACTGGCCAATGCCTGCTCTCAGTCTACCCAATCCTCACTATCATGCCCCGTCACTGATGGCCACTATCAGAAAGAACTGGAGCAGCTGAAAGCCATGGGTTTTGCTAATCGCAATGCCAACCTGCAGGCCCTGATGGCCACAGACGGAGACATCTACGCTGCCATTGAGAGGCTGCTGGGGGAATCAACAGGTTTAGGCCCCTCCTGTTAATGTCTATGGAGCATCACCCCATGGAGAGGGAAATAAAGGTGAAGGGAAGGGGATGAAAAGTAGCTTATTTTGGGAATTTCTCCTACTCAGATCCTACACACAATTGGACAATCCCTCTCTCACTGTCCAAGCTGTTCTGCATTAAAAAGATTGCTTGGATCACATGTGTGATGCTATTTGGGGGTATATGGATAAAAGGAAGGCTATTTGGGGAAGGAGTGATCGTGTTTCCTGGTCTGGGATTAACCTAGTCTCATGCTCCTATCCTCAGAGAATGTTCTCATTTTGAGTATTGTTGTTGTTGTTGTTAAGTGCCGTGGAGTCGGTTCCAAATCATAGCGACCCTGTACAGAGTTTCTGAGGCTGTAAATCTTTACGAGAGCAGAAAGCCTCATCTTTCTCCCATGGAGCAGCTGGTAATTTCAAACTGCTGACCTTGCGGTTTGCAGCCTGATTCGTAACCACTATGCTACCAGAGCTATAGGTTAAGTAAATCCTGATTTTTCTTTTTGGTATCTTTATCCCTGCTCAACTGGTAAATTGGCTCCTCACCATCATCACCACAGACTGCCTCCATTCACTGGACTCCTGGTGTGGTGCTGTGGGTTAATGTGCCAGACTGCAAAGTTGGAACTGCAAGGTTGGTGGTTCAAGCTCACCAGCTGCTCCTCAAAAACCCTATACAGGGTCGCTATGGGTCAGAACCGACTCAACAGCACTTCACAACAACAACCCTTCCAATGGCCATGTTTATTCCATCCACAAGGTCGGCAGTTCAAACCCACAAGCTGCCCCTCGGAAACCCCTATACAAGGTTGCCATGAATTGGAACGGACTCAGCAACATTTAACAATAGCTATGTAGTCAGGGATTTATCCCCAGCATGGTGCAGATGATTCTCAAAGATGTTTCTCGTTCCTCATCTGCCCAATTTTTTCTAAAGAATTTGATATAATGACCCCCCTTCTTTTTAAATTTTAACCAGAGTGACATATATTTTTGTTTTTTAACTTTTATTTGCCTTCCCTTCACCCCAGTTAATATGTCTACCCTCAAGTTGATATTTTACCCTTCTTTCCCCTCCCGCTCCTAATAACCATCAAAATTTCTTTTAGTGTGAAAATCTTTCCTTGACTTTTTATAACAGTGGTCTCATACTTTTATATTAGCTCTTTGGGGATTGACTTATTTCACTTAATATTATGTCCTCCAGATGCATCCATGCTGATGTTAATCCCTCTTTTTTTAAACTGCCTCCCTTAATCTATTTTCTTATCCCATCTTTTATAGAATGATGTTCCTCGAGAGTTATTGTTGTTGTTAAGTGCCGTCGGGTTAATTCCAACCCTTAGTGACCCTCTATAGTGTTTCCAAGGAGCAGCTGGTGAGCTTGAACAACCAAACTTATGGTTCAAGCAGACTTTATAGTCCAGCTCATTAACCCACAGTGCCATACCAGGACTTACGTTACACCAATTCTTTATTCATCCTTGGAGATTTTGGCCGTTTCCTGGCATGGACTCTTACCTGTTCCTACATCTCTGAGTGAACATGCTTTCCACAGCCTGCTGGCCTCCCCTTTTGATGTCCCAGAGGAACTGCTGACTCAGAATATTAAATATTGCTCATAGTCTTTTCCTGATGCACATTTCAGCTCTAAATTCTACTTGTGTTCTATAGCTCAGTGGAGGTCATCAATACTTTCCAGTGTTCTGCTGGAAGTCTTGGCTCTATGAGTGATGTAGTGCATGGTGCAGACAGGTGGAGCATGCCTCAGAGGATCCGTGGCTAATTATAGGCAAGCAGCAGAACAAGGAAAGAGCCCCTGAGGGTTCTAATGGTTCAAGTGCTCAGCTACCAACTAAAAGGTTTATAGTTCAAACCTACCCAGAGGTGCCTCAGAAAAAAGGCCTGGTAATTTGATTCTGAATGGTCATGGAAAGACCTGGAAACCCTTATGGAGTACAGTTCTACTGTGAACGCATGAGATCACCATGACTCTTAGTCATTTCAATGGCAACTGGTTTGGTTTTTGGTTTTAGCATGATGAAGACTGATGGAAGAGAGTGCGGACACTTATTAGGGGAGCTACTTCAGGAGAACGAGAGAGTAAAAATTTAAAGCCAATCTCAGTGACCAATTAAGTCAGAGTTGAGGAACAACTGAGTATCATGCTTCCTAGGGGACAGGATAATAGAGGTTTCTGACCTAGATGCCATGACAATAATTTTATTTAGAAGTTATGATGCTCCATGAGTCAACTAATAATTGCAATCCAGGAATAGAAACACTTTCATAACATCCACTGTGCACCATGATTAGTTGTTTACCTATATTTAAGTAATTTAATTCAATAAGCCTAAGTGGTGAGTTATTATTATTTTTGTTATTATTCAAGTTTCATAAATGAGGAAACAAAGGCACTTAGTATATAAGTGATGAAGCAGGAGGAGCCCGAGTTATTTGATTCAAGAGTGAAATCAGTGGATAGAGAGTGCATTCAGTCCTATCTTGGCACAAAGAAAGGGACAAATTAGATCCTCAACCCTTCAGGAATTTAGAACCTCTTTTAGAGAGCAAAAACACAGGGAATAATCTAAATCACAATAAAGAAATGAATTATAAAAGTACTTTGAACAAATTTAAAATGAAATCTTTTCTTGCAATAGAGAAACATTATTAGCGTATCAAAAGAAAATAAAGTTAAGCAGAGCCTGAGTTAAACCTGAAGTGACATTGCTACCAAGACATACAGAATTTCCCAACTCAGAGCTGAGGAAGCAATTGCGGGATAGGCTGTGTTGAACTATAAAAACAATAAAATAGTCACAAAATGTTTGCAAAATGAAAAATCACCCTTTATTTTAAATGGATCCATTTTTATGCATTCCTTTTCTACCTTTTATCACAAAGCTTACATTAAAAAATAATTTCTACACAATTTTATACATTATGTTTAAATACCAGCTTATATATTATGGTTTAAAAATGTTTATTATTGTGAATTGAGTGAAAAAGTTTATAGAGTTTTACAGTCAACAAATTGTACACTTTGTTTCACCTCAGTGAGTGCTGTCCCCTCCATGCAACATCACTTAGTTCACTTGTTCCCTGTGCCTCTTAGTCCCATTCCACTCTCCTTCCCCAAACTTCTGAACGTTTTCTTCGGTAAATGTCCTTCTGATCTTTAATGGTTGACCATTCTATGGTGAGCATACCTTACTAGTGTTGTTGTACTTCCTTTCATATCTATCTACTGGTGTAGTGCTGTAGGATAAGCACTGGACTGCTAACTACAAGGATGGTGATTCAAACCTACCAGTCGCTCCTTGGAAACCCTATACAAGGTCATTATGAGTTGGAACTGACTCAACAACCTTAACAACTACTGTTTAGCTCAAAACTGGGTCACGAGGGTGAGTTCCATTCCAGACCTAAAGGGTGGCCAAGGCCCATAGTCTTGGTTTCCTCCACTTTCTTTCTGACCAATGAACCTGGTTTTTTGTTTGTTTGTTTGTTTTTGTATAATTTTGAGTTTGGGTCCACATTTTCTTCTACTCTATCCAGGACCTTCTGATGTGATCCCTTTTAGAGTAGTAGGTAGTGGTGGCCAGGCACCATGTAATTTGTTCTTTCTAATCTCAGACTGTGGTGACTAATGTTAACATGTTCCATTGGTCCATTGAGCTAGTTGATTTCAAGCCTCTTCAGTTTTCACCACTCTTCTTTCTTCCACACATGGAGACAACAATAGTTGCACCTTAGCTGGAAGCTAATGAGCTTTGGAGATCTACACCCTATAGCTGCAAACGCCTTGACAGCCCCCATGAAATATAAACAAAAAATCAAATTACTGAATGTCTATTGTGTGCTAGATGCCATGCAGGACACATGTCATATTGTCTTGAATCATCCAACAACTAATCAATTATTTGCTCATTAATGCAGCAGAGAATATTTGAGCACATACAATACAGTGTATGTTAACTGCTGTCAAGTCAATTCCGACTCATAACGACCCTATATAGGAGCTGAGGAGCAGCTGGGGGTTTGAACTGCTAGCCTTGAAGTTCACAGCTCAGTGCTTCCTGCAGTGCCATACCAGGAGTCCTGTTGGCCTCCACTGTAGTGATCTTAATTACAACATAGCAAAATATTTCTGGTCCTATGTCAAAATATGACCTTGAATATTTTGGTTAATTATCCTTAACTTACCAAAGATATATTATTTTTGTTATATTTACATGATTTAAGATAATTTATAATGCTCATTTGTTTATGTTCTTTCTAAGATTTCATTGCAGCATATGGTGTTGTTGGCATTCACTTGTCAAATCAAATATTAGGGACTATACAGAATATTATATTGGTCCATATACTTGATTAATCAGTTGAGTGCCAACATACTAACACACTAACTCTACAATATGTTAGTCCATAATAATTGATTTTGTTTTGTCATAACTAAGGTTGCCACAAGTGGAAGCCAACTCCATGGCAATTAACAACAACAAATAAAAATTGCCAACTTACCAATTATCAACTACTAAAAATCTTTACTGAGTGCTGGCTTTGTGTCAGGCTCAGTGATAAGCACATTACTAAGATGAAGGAAAATTACACAGAATGCCCTAATGCATGCAGTTAATATTTAAGATGAGATTTTACCCAAAGTTATTGGCATGCCGATCTCACATTCTTTCAATTACAAATGATAAATTACAAGAAAATGTCTGAGGTAGCAATGTAAATGGTGTGTTCTTAGGACTGCTGGACTCCTTGAATCATAGGCTCTTGATTAAAATGAAAATAACTGCTGCAAACAACCTCTTTAAAATGTTTAAAAGCAAAGATTTTACATTGAGGATTAGGTGTGCCTCATATATATGTGAAAGCTAGAAAATGAATAAGGAAGACTGGGGAAGAATCAATAATGTATTAGAATTCTGATGTTGGCTAAGAATATTGAATATGCTATGAACTGCCAGAAGAATGAACAAATCTGTCTTAGAAGAAGGACAGTCATAACACTCCTAAGAAGAGAGAATGGCAAGACTTCATCATGTACTTTGGAAATAGTATCAGGAGGTACCAATCCCTGGAGAAGGACATCATACTCCTTAAAATAAAGGACAGTGAGAAGAGGCAGACCCTCCATGAGATGGCTGGACACAGTGGCGGCAACAATGGGCTCAAACATAGCAACAATTATAAGGATGGCACAGAACAGTGTTTCATTCTGTTGTACATAGGGTCATTTGGTGTTGAAGCCAACTCGACCACACTTAACAACAATAACAAAATTTTCGAACCGTTGTGAGGAATGTGTGAATGACAGATAAATTTTAGAACTAAAGTTACTAAGGCAACACTGTAACTTGGAACAGAATTTCCTGTATCCTAAATAAATTTAAAAATATATATATACCATTCTGGCTAAAAACAAAAGGACCTCACCATCAGTGGAGTGGAGGAATAAAGGAAGATAGACTATTTTCATTGAGCTTTATTATATACTGAACACTGTCTCACTATTATAAAGCCATTTGTAATATAAACACCACAGTAACCCTGTGTGATAATGTAACAAAAGCTTAATAGACACAATAACTATTAACAAAGCTTTTCATTGCTGTTAAGTGCCCTGGAGTCAGTTCTGACTTATTTATATTGTTGTTAGTACCATTAAGTCGATTCCAACTCATAGCGACCCTGTAGAGGGTTTCCAAGGTATGACTGGTGAGCTTGAACTGCCGATCTTGCAGTTCAAACTGACTTTGCAGTCCAGCACATTTACCCACAGCATTACACCGGGACTCCGTTCTGCCTCATAGCGACCCTGTATAGGAGTTCCAAGGAACAGCTAGTGTGTTGGAACCATTGAATAGCCAATGTTATGTTTAGTAGTCCAGTGCAACACCAGGTTAAATAATTTTCTCATTTTGCAATTACATTTTGAATACTAACACATGTCAGGTACTGTTCTAAATTTTCTATATTCATTCATTTCTTTGATCATCACCACAAACTTAGAGTATGGTATTTTTTATTATTTCTATTTTACAGCTGAGACACAGAAAAATTTGTTAACTTGCTCAAGTTCACAAAATTAATTAGTAGACAAGCTAGGGCTCAAACTCAGGCATTGAAATTTTAGACCTTGTTCTACTCAAAATGACATTTAGATTCAAATCTAAGAGTTTTGTTTTTTGCTTTCTCCATTTGACCTCCATAGGCATAGTGCCCTACACATCACAATGCCTTCTCTAGACCAGGAACAACCTTCCTCTTTGGTAAATCAGAGACCTTTCTGAGACAATAAAGAAAATTTTAACTGTTTTCTGAAAATTTCATAGTTGATTAAGGAACTTAAGGAATATGAACATTCAATGTGATCATTGATATCTTCAATTCATCTTCCTTCCTCAACTTCCTCCATGTCATTTGTCCCTCCATGCCGGAGATTTCTATGCACGTAAATGCATCTAGACAGTCCCCCTACCCATTTATCTATCTTTCTCATGTCCAGTCTCTGCTGAGAACTCATACTGAGCCCTTCCTTAAATGAAGCAGTCTAAGAAGTCGACTTTTAATCTCCTTTGTCCTGGCCCCATAGATGATTGGGTTGAGAACAGGGGGCACCAGCACATAGAGATTGGCCAGAAAGATGTGCACATGCTTGGGGACTCGTTGTCTGCCAAAGCGGTGAGTGAGGAAGGAGAAGAAGGCAGGAATGTAGAAAACCAGGATGACTCCAAGGTGGGAGCCACAAGTACTCAGAGCCTTGCGTCTGGCATCACGAGATGGCAGGCAAAAGACAGCTCGGAGGATAAAGACATAGGAGATGGCAATGAGGATGGAATCCAGGCCCATGGCCAGCAGGGCTACAGTAAGTCCATAGACAACATTGATGGTAATGCTGGCGCAGGCCAGTCGAGCAATGCCCATGTGCTCACAGTAGGTGTGTGCCATGACATGATGTCCACAGTAGGGCAGTCGCTTCAGCAAGAAGATGAAGGGGGAAACAATGGCTACACTGCGGAATATCCCAACAAGGCTGATTCTGCCAATGACACTATGGTTGAGAATGGTTGTATACCTCAGAGGCTTGCAGATAGCCACATATCGATCAAAGGCCATAGCGAGAAGAACTGAGGACTCCATGGCATAGATAGAATGGACACAAAACATCTGGGCTAGACAGCCATCAAAGGAAATCTCACCAGCCTGGAACCATAAAATGGCCAGTGTCTTGGGCATGGTGGTAGAGCTGAGAGCCAGGTCAGTGAGTGAGAGAAGACAAAGGAAGAGGTACATGGGTTCATGAAGAGTATTGTCTATCCCGATAATCAGGATAAGGACAGCATTTCCTGCCAGTGCCACCAGGTACATGGCACAAAAGGGGATGGCAATCCAGATGTGGCTGGCCTCCAGTCCTGGAATCCCTGTCAAGAAGACAGTGGCTGGGAGACTGTTTTCGCTGATGTTGAAAGCTGACATCCTGGGTGACAAAAGAATAATACTATCAAAGCTGTGTTGGAATGCCTACTTTATGTTGGTAATATCAGGCTTTTGTTCATTCACATAAAATGATGACTTCCCTGAGTAACAATCTTTCAGACTATCAAAAAAAAAAAGTGTTTTTTTTTTTTTTCTTCTTCACTTTCTTCAGAATATGGAAAGACTATCACATATAATTCATTTGTTTCTACCTGCCATTTCCTACCCAGTCAAACACCATGCTAACTAAGCATGTAAGCATTTGGCTGCTCTGACCATTCAACACTTATCTCCAACAGTATCCTGCATATAATTTACTGACGTTTTGTCCACATTTAGCTAGGACTGCTTTTTGCCCGTGGTTTTTGCCCATGGACTAAAGTCCATGCCATTTACCATCCCTTAGCCTTGTTTCTTCATTCTCTTCCCACACTTAAGTGCCATGGCAAGGTTTCCTATGCCTACAAGTCTTCCTTTCTAAAGCCACCCTTGGCGATCTTTCTTTCCATCTTGTTTCTTTTTCCATTACATTCCCAAACCCCTTTTGCCTGGGAATATGTTTTATATAATTGTAATCTCCATGATCATCTTTGCACCCAGATATTGCAATCAATGTTGGCTAAGAATCAGCTGGACAACTCTTAGCAACATTCTATTGGCTTTCTGACTAACTGCTGTAATGATGGCTTCACTTTATTTTCTCTGTTTGTATCTTAACTGTCTTAATATATGAAGGGACTTCAAAAATCATGGGAAAATGCATTGTTTTTTAAATTTCAGTTTTCCATGAACTTTTTGATGCCCCTTGATGGGTCAAATCGTTTCTTTTGTATTTTACCTGAAGTGCTAGAAAGGGGCTGGACAAACTTACACAACACAATTGAATATTTATTTACACTAACAAAGATATAATAAAACAAAATAAGAGATACCATTCCCAACGATATAGCAAACCTTTCAAACCCCTGCATATGTGTCAGCATAATAGTTGGATGTGATATCCCGATCAGTATGCCAAGCAATGATGGAGGCTGAATAAGGGAGAGAGTGAAGTTCCTAGACTTGGTAACAGAGAAGAAATTCTTAACAGTGAATCTGCCTTTGTTGCAGAGAACTCAGATGTGCCCTCTAAATAACATTGCACTCCTGGTGTGGCACTGGAGGAACATCACTGGACTTAACCACAAGGTTAGCAGTTCCAACCCATCAGTTGTTCCTTGGAAACCCTATACAGAGTCACTATGAGTTAGAATGGACTCAGCAGCATTTAACAACAACAATGACAAATAACATTGGAGTTCCTGGCTAACACAAATAGCGAGGTACTAGAATGCTCCCGGAAAGGCTGACAGTTTGAACCCACCAAGAGGTCCCTCAGGAGTAAGGCCTGGCAAACTGTTTCTGAAATGTCACAGCCTGGAAAACTCTATGCAGTAGTTCTACTCTACGTGCATAGAGTTGATATGGTTTATAATGGACTCAGAGGCAACTACCAACAACATAATAACACCATGTACTTAAATGAGTCCTGGATATGATGACAAGAGATCTAAAATTTAGCTCTGATTTTGTCACAGGACTACTGTGTCGTGACCTTAAGCAAACCCTTTCTCTTCTCTGAACTGTCTCATTTTTAGAATGGACATTTTATAAAGAGGCTCAGTGTTTTCACCTCTTATTGGGAATGGCAACACTGGACCTGCGTACCTCAAAAGGTTTCGTGGTTAAACAAGGGTAAAGTATATGAGATCCAAAGTTTGGGTACCCAACATCTTTGCCTTCCCATGTTAACACACTCTCTATCCCCAAGCAGCAAGTTAAGGTTTTCACCTTACCTGCCTGTCCATTTTGACACAGTCAGTTTTTTAATTCTTATTTCTCGACAGTAAGGCATTCTGCCTAACATCAGATTCTAATGCTGCCATCGCTTTATTCATCCTCTGAACTTCAAAGAGTCAGTGAGAAATATGGATGCCCCTCCTGTATGCATGGATGTTTTTGCTGATGACACAAGTCACTTCTGATTTATGATAATAAGAAAACATTTGTGTGGCAGAAGACGAGGAGCTGAGTCACTATCTTCTATTTGTCTCACTTACTATTCCTCTTCCTGCCCTCAAAAGACGATTTCATAGGGTCATTGTAAGAAAACTGTTACACTGTGAGCAATTTTGTCCCCATGGGAACCATAAATATTAGGGCAGAAGCTGGATTGGTTTCTAGGAAAACAATGGGGAAGAAATAATGGGGTGGAGTGCCAATTTGATCTGCAATGAGGGACCTTCACAAGCTTTTCCCAAATCTTCTATCTGGGTCACTGTAATGACAATTTTTTGAATGAGGTCCCCTCTCTCAGTCCTTGTTGCTGGTAAGTGCCATCAAGTTGGTTCTCACTCACAGCGATCCTGTATAGAGTTTTTGAGGAGCAGCTGTTGGGTTTGAACCACTGACCTTGAGCTTCGCAGTCCATTGCTTGTCCTACAGAGCTACACCAGGACCTCAATAATAAAACTCTATTTTATTATACATAGTTATTATATTATATATATATATGATTATAAGAACATACCTGTACGATGAACATACATTTATTTGCAGGTTGCTCACTCTTGATTTGGAGCTGTGTAGTATATGGGTTGTTGTTGTTGTTGTTAAGTGTCGTCGAGTTGGTTCTAACTCATATGGGTATGAAGCTATGTAGTGTCTGGGTATAAAACTGTATGGCATACAGGTGTGTGGCTTTGTGGGCAGAGTGTGGTGCAGTTGTTATGACTTGTGTAGAAGATGTACTTCTGAATTAAGGTGTATTTATGCCGTTGAAAGTGGTCTTTCTGTGCAGCTTAGTGTGACCATGACATGTGGGGAGAAGGTGAGTTGAAATAGCTGATCCATCCTTGTTTTTATGGAATAGTGAGAATATGTAGCTCAGTTATGGGTTCCAGTCTCTTCTGTTCAAGACTTGGTAAGTGAGGCTATTTATTGACTTTCTCTGTGACTTTTTGGTGTGAAAACCCAGGGGATCTCTTCAAGGGATTTGATTTGTGGTACACATTTTGAGGGAGACAAAGAGAATGGGAGTGGCAAATAAAAGAAGGAGGGAGAGAAAAAAATACTATGTGATTTTTTTATAGTAAGTGACACTAAACATGAAACTTTTTATAGTAAGTGAAAACAAATATCTAATCTGCTTATCCTTGGAGATTATGGCAGTTCTGTAGGATAAGCACTGGACTACAAATCACAAGGTCGGTGCTTCAAGCCCACCATGTAAGGGAGAAAGATGAGGGTTTCTATGCCTGCAAAGATTTACAGCCTCAGAAACCCAATACCTGGCTGGCTGATATGAGTGGGAATTGACTCAACGGCACTTAACAACAACATGCTTATGTTTTATCCTCATTCCTCTTCTTTTACTTATTTCCTCCTCTTTTGTGTTTTGTTTGTGTGTGTGATTGAACTTCCATGTATTGTGGGTCCACCAGATTTCTGTGTTCATGGGGCACCAAGACAAGCACATGTGCACATTCCACTGTTGTATCAGATATCACTAGAAAACACAATTTCAAAAATAAAATAATTACAAGATGATGTCAGAGAGCATTAAACAAAGCACAGTATCCTGTTGAGAGTGGAATTCATGCGTTACTCAGGATGTATGGTCCTGAGGTTGGTCTAGGTAGTGAATGACATCAGTGCTCTGGCCAGAGTCCCCTCATATTTCTTGATAAATAGCCATCCATCAGATTCTTATGCCAAAGATTCCTTCCATTAAGTTCCTTTTCAATATACATGAACTTATCCTCCATGTCTTCAGTGCTCTTTCCTTGTAACATCGATCCCCTTTTCACAACAATCCAGTCAGTAGGCTTCCTTTGTTTCTTAGGTGCTCCCTAAAGGATTTTGAAAACACTATATGATCCCTTAGATACTTTAAGTTGTCATAGAAATATTTTCATTGAAAGACAAAATAGTGACAAAGGATATAATTTCCAGTACATGGTGAAAATTGACATTTTAAAATATGTTCTATATGGAGTCGAAATACCCTTGGGATTTCCAGCTCACCATTATCAGTAAAAAATATATGAAAAATTTTCCAAACTATTAAAACATATTCCTTTGTCTCCTTGAAATAGGTTCATTTCCCCACTTTTTAATGTTTAAAAGCATTTTAATGACTATTCTTCACTTTTGTTTGCAATAAAAATATGTACTTAAGTAGGAATTCTTTGTTTTGTTTTCTATAATTAGTAGCCTCTTGAGTGTTAAAATGTTCTATTATTACAATTATAATGAAAGCACATTCTTATTTGACCAATGAGAGTAAGAATTCATTGTACAGACTTTGTGGAGAAGTAATCATTACTGTTGTTACTGTTGCTATTAAGTGCTATGGAGTTGGTTCTGACTCACAGTAACCCTATGTGGGGTTTCCAAGGAGCAAATAGTGGGTTTGAACTACTGACCATGCAGTTTGCAGTCCAGTGCTTACCCTACAGCATCACACCAGAGGTCCAGACAAAATGTTAGATGTGTTCTATTGTTCATCTTATTTGGTCCTTACAACTACTCTATAAAGTAGTTAAAGTAGAATCAAATATTTGTTAAAAACAAAATTCAATACCCAAATTTGCAAATACCCAAATTTCCTAATATGGAAATTTCTCTGCAGGCTTCTGCTCTTGAAAAAAACCACATTCATTCCTTTCATTTTATTGTTATTGTTGAGAACATATACAGTAAGGCATATACCAATTAAACAGTTTTCATAATATACAATTCACTAACATTTATTATATTCTTCAAGTTGTACAATGATTCCTCCTTTTCTGGATTGTTTCTTCCCAATTAATGTAATAGTGAGGGTCCATGATGAAAAGTAATATAAAAATTAATTGTTTCATGATTATTTTACATAGACAAAATATGTTTTGGAGATAGTCCCTTAGTGAGACAGATGTTAATTCTTTCCTCCCTACCTAATCCACAAATCAGCATCA